TTTCTTTTTAAGAGTATTTTTTATTTTCTAGATACTTAATATTGGTTGTTTAGAGCCTTGTTGAGAGTAATCAAGTTGACTCCTAAAGGAGTGTAAAAAAATTAAAAAAAAAAAGATTTTATTTTTTATTCTTCGTTACTGTTGGTTAAAGTGTTTATATCACACCACTGATCGCAGTTCATCTGTCCAAATAATTCGAGGACACTCTCATCGCCTCATCCAAGAGTTCTTTAGTGCTTCAGACCTCAACAACATCTGCGAGCTACCTTTACTATGTATATATATATATATATATATATATATATATATATATATATATATATATATATATATATATATATATATATATATATATATATATGTATATATACACATATCTAGTAAAGGTAGCTAAATATATGTATACATTACATATATATATAATGTATACATATATATTTTTTTTGTTATTCACCTCCTCAAGGCCGAGAAGGCCACTACAGACGAGGAGGCTACTTAATAGTGGTTATAATCCTCTCTCAACTCTATAACTCCGAAACACGAATCTTGACGAACAAGGCCGCTGCGCGGAGAAACAAGTTGATATATATATATACATATATTTATATATATATATATATATATATATATATATATATATATATATATATACACATGTTCATTATATACATATATAATGTCATTATATACATATATAATATATATATATATATATATATATATATTACAATGGTAAAATATAACTTTGGCAAATTTTTTTAAAGAAAATAGTGAAATTACATCAGAAGAAGTAAAAAAATCATATGAAAAAATAAGCCTGCGCTTGTAACCAAAAAGAAGCAATAAAAGCTATGGGAAATATCAAAGCTGTTTGGGTGCAAATATTTGAAAGTAAAAAGCCGGATAACATTCAATGAAAGGCCGCATCATTTAAAAAATATTATTTAAGATATAACTGTGTTAAACACATTTTTTACATCAAGGAAAAAAGACAGGTGATTTGAATTTTTTAGAAATGATGTTGAAAACATTGATTTTCTCAAGATCAAGAAAGACAAGATTTTGAAATGATAAGATATCTAAATCAAATTATTTTGTAATTTTAAATAAAGTATACAATAAAACTATATAGATTTTAAATAAATCTTAATTTTATCAAGTATTTATAACATTATACCTGGTGGTGTGACATGACAAGTATGTTGCGAGCAGATAAATCGCGATGAATTAATTTTTGAGAATGTATATATAGCATTCCGGAAGCTATTTGAAAAGCAAATTGACAAATTATAGCAATAGATGTAATATGTCTCTGTTTCAGTTGATATAATAATGATCCTTGGCCTGCATACTCTGATATCTATGAGCAACAACTAATAGTTTTTATTACTTATTAAAAACATATATATATATATATATATATATATATATATATATATATATATATATACATACATATATGTATATTTATATATATATATATATACATACATATATGTTATTTTACATACATATATGTATATTTATATATATAATATATATATATATATATATATATATATATATATATATGTATATATAATCAGTCTTCTCCATTTAGCCAGCACTGGTCTTTTTGCGCATGCCTACATGCCCCCAAAAACATTAACAAGAGCATAAAAACACACTTGCCAAAAAAATAAAAGCATTTTGTTTTTAATTGGAGCAAGGCTTTTTTGTTCATTTGTTCAACTTTTATGAAATGTGTCTTTTTTTTACCAGTTTTCTTTTAAATTATTTTATCTAGTATTTATTCAAAGCATTTTTTTCGCTATTTTTATTTTAATTTAAACAGAAAAAAAAAATGAATTTTTTAAATTGCCCAGGCTAACTTTAAAATGACTATCCTTTTTTGTGCGCTAACATTAAATTTCAAATGGAGAAAACAGATATATATATATATTTATATATATATACAGGGGCTATTTTAGACCGCTTTTGACAGCGTCGATCGTATTTAGGCGCCAATTTGAGTGCCGCCCAAATTAAAAAATTTATTTTTTAGTTTTTAACCGCAAATTTTTTTATTTGCAAAAAAATGAATATATTTGGCAACATTTCTGTTAAGTTTTTCAGAGACGGGGGCTGCTGCCTAAACTTTTTTCCTAGAATAGCCCCAGATATATATACATATATATATATATATATATATATATATATATATATATATATATATATATATGAATAAATAAACATTTTATTATTACTATATATATATTTATACATTAATTACTTTTCTCTGAGTTATTTAAACAACAAAAGTTTAACAAATGATATAGATTTATATTTTAAATAACAATATTTATTAAAACTTATAAAGATATTTCTGATAAATATACTTTCAAATCTGTTTTTAACTTTATCAAACAACTAGAAAAAGGTTTTTTCTTTAAACCTCATAAAAACCTCATAAAAACCTCATAAAAACCTCATAAGACTTCACAAACTTTTGTGTAAGTTCCAGTACAATCTAAAAGTAATCAAAAGGCAAATACTAGAGACTTTTAGTTTTGATTTGAGTGGTAAAAAATCAATGGATGTCAATTCCAAATCATGTGGTACAAAAAATCTGCCATAAATCTTCATGATACTTGGCTGATAAATCTTCAAGTTTTTTAGACTTGATGTTAAAATAAAAAGCTAAGTATTTCACAAGATGCCTGTAATCTTATTAAAATGTTAAATTTAAAAACAAAATTGATACAGAAATTTAATTCAGAAAGTGGATAAATACCAGATCCAGGACTGTTAACAATATTCTCATCGAACTTATTGAAACATGATAAAGACATAAATAAACAAAATAAACACTAACAGATAGGCACCAAGTAGATATAAAAGAAACAAAACTTTTTGACTGCTTCTTAAAGTTTTGGTAAAAGTCCTTTAGAGGTCTCTAGGTTTATCTCCTCATAAAGACAGTAATGGATGAAGTAAACTTTGTAGTAAAAAATTATATAAAAATTTTTAAAATATGAATTATTTTATAAATAAATTATTAATTTAGATTTTAATAAATAGAAAATGATATTTTTTAACTTAAAACAAAAAAAGGGAATATATATATATATATATATATATATATATATATATATATATATATATATATATATATATATATATATATATATATATATATATATATATATATATATATATATATATATATATATATATACATATATATATATATATATATATATATATATATATATATATATATATATATATATATATATATATATATATATATATATATATATATATATATATATATATATATATATATATATATATATATATATATATGCTATAATCTAATAAAATTGCAAAATCAAAAAAAAAGCAACAAACTGTTTTAAATTCATCCTCATTGTCTTGAATAAAACCAAACAACTTTATTATACTTGGATGATAATTATCAAGAGAAGCATGAATAGAAATTTCTTTTCTCCACATTTCTTTTGTTTTAGTTGATATTAATCTTGATGTTTTGACAGCTACAGAAGTATTTACCTTTTAAAGGATAGTAAAAGAATGCAATATAACTGAATATAAAATTTAAAAGGAAATTTAAACTATTATTTCAATAGCAATAGCTGTCAATTTAAACTATTATTTCAATAGTCAATAATGTTTGAAAATAGTATTAAAGAATTTACAAATTTTATACACATTTCATTGTATATATATATTAAATATATATATATATATATATATATATATATATATATATATATATATATATATATATATATATATATACATATACATATATATATATATATATATATATATATATATATATATATATATATATATATATATATATATATATATATATATATATATATATATATATATATATATATATATATATATATATATATATATATATATTGCTAAAGCTAAAAAGTAATTACTATATTTCCATTTTCATTTTTTCTAGTCCATATCCCTTTGTAAACACTTCCAAAATTTCCTGAACCAATCATTTCATTTATTGAAACATGATCAGATGCAATAAGCAGAGGCTTTTGTTTTAATAATAGTATGTCTGTTAAAAGATAATCATTGTAAACAAGTTTGGTTGTTGAAACCTAGAACAATAGTAATAGCAATATCAAAGCCGCAATGATAAAAAAAAATAAAAGCAGAACAATCAAGACAACTAAAAAATAAAAACAGAACAAGAGCACAACAAAATAAGTAAACCAAAATAATTCATCAAAATAAACCACAATAATTCATCAAAAGCAATCATAATTTGATTTTGATGGATTGCATGTTTTGCTATAAGTTAAAAAAAAATATATTTTCATATTTTCACCTAACATAATAGAGTTTATAAAACAAGTTTATAAAACAATATTTAATCATGACAAACAAAACTTTTTAATATTAAAAAAAAAAAATTTATACAATATCTAAATAAATGCAAATTATCTTTTTATATCTTTTATTTCTATTAGTGAAACAAAATTTAAACTTGAATTCTATTGGTGATACAAAGTTTAAATTTTAAATTTATTGTTGAAACTAAATTAAGTTCTGTTGGGTATTTATTGACATTTTATAAAAGAATTGAAAAAAATTAATAAGATTTAACAAAAAAATTAAAAACAAACCTTGGAACGAATTTCATTGAAATTCTTGACAATTTTCTGGAACTTTAATAAATCAATTTTTGATACTAGTCCAACCAAACTTAACTCATTTGAATTCAATTTTAAAAAATCAGCTAAATAAAAAATGATAAAATAAATATAACAATGTATAGTATAATTTGGCATGTTCAGCATGGCTCATTAATTAATCAATGATCCTCTAGAATAATAAAAGAAATGTATTATATAATAATATTATATAAGTATTCATTTCTAAATAAAGTAAAACGCTGATATAAAAATTTCTAAATAAAATAGTGAATAAATAATTTTTTTTTCCTATAATCCCTGTATATGTACAACTCTTAGAATTCGAAATAATCCCTGTATATGTACAGCCCATAGAATTTGAAAAAAGTCGGCATCAGGTCAGCAAATAGTTTTGAAACAGTATTTGACAAATCAAAAAATATGTGAATGTTTATCATTAAATTGACAAAAAAAAAAAACTTTTTTTAGTTAATTTATTCAGAATTTAATAAAAACATTTTTTTTTTGCTATCTTTATTTTCATTATTTTATTTAGAATTTAAATAAAAGGTTATTTTGCTGTTTCTAATTTATTTAAATATCAAATCTATATAGTCCAAAATATAACAAAGTTTTTAATGGCAAAAAACCTAAATAAAAATAAACTTAAAAACTAAAAAGTTTTTTAAAAATCAATATAAAATTAAAAATATGGTGGACACTAAACATTATCGGGATACTGTGAAGCAGTTGGGCTTCACAATAATTCCTATATTATATATTTGTTTGTATAATATTTTTAGTAACATATTATTTCTTAATATTATATATATTATAGTATAATAAACCACCTTAACATAGTCAAAACTTAGCCTATAGTTGAATTCTGATGAATCCAGACTGTTGATTCAGTGGTCTGGCTACAGATGAATTTTTCTTATTATACAAAAGCAATTTATTTATGCTAGCAATGATAAGACTGAAGTTATAATGTAGCGGTGGCGTTATCATTGCTAAGAACAACTAGACTTTATCCTAATAGTAGCTAACTAAACTTACATACCAATAATTCAAACCAGTTAGAAGACATAACAAATATTAGTTTAAAAAATACAATTCGACTGCCTATGACATTGAAGTGTCTGAGAACCTTTTGAAAAAAATTTTGAATGTCAAACTAAATGCTTTGGTATACTAAACACAGTAATTAGTACTTGATTGCTTGAACTGATTGTTTAAACTTTAACCCTAAAATATAATTTTGCATTAAGTATTATTTTTTTTTTATCATGCATTATTTTATTTCATTTCACTCTTTATTTTGAGATTTAAATTTATAGCAACATTGTGTTGGTAATGCTGTGTTTTCTAAAAAAAAAAATAGATTTTTGCAATTTAAATTAAAATTTTTTTTTTATTATTTTTGTAAGGTTTTTTTAGAACTTTGTAACATAAAAAATTTGAAAATTAGGTTAAATCAAAACTTCATGTTTTCCATAGTTTCAAGAGCGTAAGCACAAATTTTAGCCATGATTTAAATTATAACAGACATCGTGACTCAAACATAGAGAGTACTTGGCACTCAAGCAAAATAGCAAAAAGTACTAACAGGAACACCCTACAGGTGCAAAATAGCAGTGCACTCTAAAATTCTATGTTAATGGAATTGACTATTCAGAAAGCTACTATAAAGTTATAGAAACTTTAACACCAAGCAGCCGCAAATCCAATAAAATGAGTTTTACAGCTGTCGTTTTGTACCCACATTAAAAGATAAAAAAATGATTTGATAAGCCATTCACAAAGATAAAAAAATGATTTGATAAGCCATTCACAAAGATAAAAAAATGATTTGATAAGCCATTCACCAGCCATTCACAAAGAGCAAAACAAATAAGTAGAGTCAAACAAATCTTTTGCTGCAATTAATTTGTGCCAATATCTGTTGCAATACATCTGTGCAAGCCTGTTGCAATAAAATCAAATCCATGTCTCAAATCTGTTGCCATTTGATCAAATCTGTACCAACCTTTTGCAAATCATCTGTGCCAGCCTATTAGATAAGGTCATTTAGAAACAGAAATTTTTCTCTTTTTCTCAAAAATAATAAATACTTTTCCAAACCACAAATGTGCGGAATTATTGGATTTAAATTTTTTTAAAAGATTCCAAGCCTTTTATACCTGTTTTTTGATTTACTTTTTGTAAAAAATAATTTTGCAGCAACAGTATATATTTTTTTAAATTGTAATTTAAAAGGTAGGATGCAACTGAGCTACAGGAAAACATTTATTGTTATTTAAAGTTACTATTGCATGGTTGGAAGTTTTAAAAACTTTGAAACATAAAATACTTGGATAATATTTTGTTTATATTATATGACTTTAATTTCATAATGATAAAAAAAAACTGGATAGCCAGTCTCAACTTCTCAACTTGAGTTCTAATTCATGTTAGACAACCAGAATATGTAATTTTTGTCAAAAGCCAGTCAATCATCATAATTGAACAGCCAGGATTAGTGTCACTACATTTTAAAAATACTTTGGTAAAAAGTAAAAGCACTTGTTCTAATAGTTATAGTTTGCAGCAGGTTTATCGTTTAGTTGTTTGTTTTACGCTATTATAAAACCTTTTAGAGATTTTATAATAGATACATACTCTGCAGTATATGTTACTTTAGCTTGTCTAAACTGTGGCAAATCAAGCTTATCACAAATGCAGGCTTGGCCAGGAAGGCATGCAATTTCACGCCACAATATGATCTTGCAAATACTATTTGATTTTGAAGATTTGATCAAGGCTGTTATGTTTTGAAAATTTGTATACATTTTAAAAATATGATGAAAAAATAACTTAACTATCTTAACGTAACTATAAAGAAACTTAAAAACAAAACTTATTGTAAAAGATGCAAATAAATCTTCCTAAAAAAAAAAATAATAATAATAAAATAAAAATATCTTAACTAATACTAAAATTAAAAAAGTAAAACCAAAACTTAACTTATACTTAAATTAAATAATAAACTATAAAAATAAGATTATTTAAATAACATTTAGAAAAAATAACTTTGAACCGTTTATCTTTATTAATGTCCTTATAATATAACACTATGCAAAATTTTAAAATGAATAACAACTTACATCTTACAATTGTTTAATAAATGCGCACATTTATAAGTTGAAAAAAAAGATTCTTAACAATTCTTTGTAGTAATGTAAACAAAAGAAAAAAATAAGTAAATCATTTGTTTAAAAAGCTGATATAGTTTTTTTTTTTTTTTAAGACATTTATTAAAATACATAATTATATAAATATAAAAAAATATATATGATATTCATTAATATTTTTATAAAAAATCATTATCAATGATTTGTTACTTTATTTAAATGTGTTTCAATAATAAAAAAACATAAGTAAAGATCAAAGTTATTAAATTCAAAAGGTTTTTCAAAAAGGTTTTGTTTGGTTTTGCCAAAATTGTTTAAAGTTGTCGCTTATAAAATTAAATTTTTTTTTTAATTTTTATTTTACTTTTTTTATTTATAAATTTTTTTTATATAACTAAATAATATAATAAAAAATTTATACAACTTTCATTTAAACTTTAATTAAAATCATTAGTTACTTTATTTAAAAGTGTTTTGCTAATATAAAAATATTAGTAAAGATAAACGTGTTGAAGTTATTTATTTTCAACGTAATTAAAACCATTTTTTTCAGCTCATTTCTTAAAAATTGTGGTAAATCGTCAAAACAAAATATTATTTGCGCATTCATAAAAAAGATTGAAATAGTACGGCCTTTAGGTTTAAAAAGAATTAATACATAAAAACTCTATTTGTTGCTCTTTATCAACAGTTTCAGGTTTTACAGATGCATGTGTTGTATCAGTAAATAAATCTTGCAATTGTGGCTACAATGCCATTAGGCGTATTATTAGTCGTATAATCCATAATAAAAGTTAAAAAAAAACATATTACAGTAAAAATCAACACACTGTTTTTTTTGTTTTTTTAATTTTTTATCTTTTAGTTTACATGTTGTGTAATATAAACTTGGAATGTGGAAGATTATAATGATCTTGTCACCAGAACCATATAATAATTGCAATACAAACAAAATATATAACAAGTAGTTAAAATCAAAATAACAATCTAAAATAGTTGAAATAAAAAATCTCAAAAATATTTTAATACATTATCAGTTGAAAAAATGTTATTCTTTAACTTATTTTCAAAAACTGGAAAAAGAGATTGAGAAGTCAAAATGAGCTGAAATATTTTATCCCAATGATAACATGAAATATTTTATCTCAATGATAACATGAAATATTTTATCCCAATGATAACATGAAATATTTTATCCCAATGATAACATGAAATATTTTATCCCAATGATAACATAAAATATTTTATCCCAATGATAACATGAAATATTTTATCCCAATGATAACATGAAATATTTTATCCCAATGATAACATACTCAATAAGTTATACAAAATTGATTAAACTTTGTTTGATAAAAATGTTTCTAATATTTAGAAAACTATTTCTATTCTTTAAGGGTACATAGATCTTTAAAAACGTTTAATAATGGGTTATTCATACAACAAAATGTAAAACTGTTAAGTTCATAAACGTTTAAAACATTCATATCTTTAAATAAAGGTTTCATGTTTAATTTAAAAAACAAGAAACCTTTATTTAAAAATATAAATATTTTTGTAAATTTGTTGATATAATAAAAAGCAAAATACACTATCATCAATTGTATCAGTATAATATATGTTTATTTATATCATATATAAAGTTTGCTTTCTATTGATAATATAGATAAGGCTTTGTTGTTGTTTTACAGTAGATCTTAAATACAATTTCATTCTTTTCAGCAACGAAAAGCTTTGTTCTGCAGAGCAGTAAGTTAAATAAATTATATTTATACTTGGAAATACAGTTTCTAATTACTTGCCATATGTTAGTTTATTAAGCTCTAATATAGAACTTGCCAAAAGTTCATTTGATTTCAAATAAAAACATAAATGAACACACTCTTCCAAAAAAACATTCATTGAAGTTGTTGTTGTACATCTGGTGTAAA